TAGTGGTATGCTCTGTAGAGTCTAAAAATGTTTAGAAGGCTTCAAAATCAGGTCTCTGTCCAGTTTTCTCAACAACTTGCATAGACATTTCATAAACAAAAGATGAAAAAGTAGTTATAAACTGTGCAAAATTATTAGAGCCCTGTGAAGCACCTTGAACTCTTCTCTCAGCCCCACCATTAGGTTTTGAATAAGTTTTACTCTAACTGCACTCCTGATACAGTAGAACAAGATAGTACATGAGTTACCAATACTGCAGAAATTGGCTTCAGCTTAAACGAAGATGACAGTGAAGGTAAACTTATTTGAAAAGATCTGTCAAGTGTTTGAAATTTGCTTAAAATTATCTTCCTCTAGACTAGGAAGAGTCATCCTCTAATTGAATGTTGTCTACCATTCATCTCTATTTGCCATGAGTGTCACATTGCTGTAGCTCTTAATTTCATGTTTTGTGCTTGTATTTCAGCCATTCTTGAAACAGATTGTCTAATAAATACTAGAACAGACAAACATGATAAGTAAGAGTAACTGCACTTAAAAATGAAAAATTGAAAGCATTTTTCTCTGTACATAGAATACATTGTATACACTATCCTATACATAGGGAACACATTCCTGTACCAAGAAGTGCAAAACAATTGTCACTTGCATTTCTTAATGATGTACCTTTTGGTCGATGGTTATAATTCATAGGCTGATTGTTTCAGGTTACTGAAAATGTCAGGTATCTGTTTGTAAATTCAGGTAATCCTCCTGTATGCAAACAAATGCGCTGATTTAAGTTCTGCTAGTTGGCATCTATCTATCTGTCTATCTATCTATGTAAGAAAGTATGACACATATCGATACTACATTTAAAGAGCTCATACTCATGCATTTAAAAAAAATAAATCAGAGTTCAACAAGCATTAAGAGAGTTGAAATGTAAATGAGCCATTCAGATGTTGCTGTATTGAACAGCCTTTTGTTAACAAATGCTAAAAAAGAAAAAGGAATTAAGATTCTTGTTTATTAAAATGAGAATAAATGTCATGGTTCAGATGAACAAGTAAGGATCAGATAACTTGTATGAACAGGAGTATTGCATAGCATAATTAGGTACTTAAAATTATGTTCATACTAATGGAGGTTTCTGGGGAACATGTTTGGTGTTGACTCTGCTGACTCATTTTGAGTGCAGGAGTTGAAAAGGAAGGAGGGTAGTAATTAGAGGCGGTATGGATCTCTAATTCCTGAAGCACCACACCACAGAAAATCATAGAATGGTATGAGTTGGAAGGGACCTTAAAGATCATCTAGTTCCAACCTTCCACTAGATTAGGTTGCTCAGGACCCCATCCAAACTGGCCTTGAACACTTCCAGGGCTAGGGCTTCCACAATCTTTCTGGACAACCTGTTCCAGTGTCTCGCCACCCTCACACTGAAGAATTTCTTCCTCAGGTCTAACCTAAATCTCCCCTTTTCCAGTTTTAATAATCCATTATCCCTCATCGTATTGCTACAAGCCCTTGTAAACAGTCCGTCCTCAGCTTTCCTTTAGTCCCCCTTCAGGTACTGGAAAGCCACTATAAGGTGTCCCTGGAGCCTTCTCCTTTCCAGGCTAAACAACCCCAGCTCCCTCAGCCTGTCTTTGTTGCACAGGTGCTCTAGCCCTCAGATCATCTCTGTGGCCCTCCGCTAGACTTTTCCCAGGAGCTCCATGTCCTTCTTATGTTGGGGGCTCCAGAATATAATCAGTCTTATTCTCTGCATTTCTCGGGCAGACTGTCAAAGTTCTTCATATTCTTTCTCCCAGTGTGTTTATATTTGAATTGCTCTGGATCTGCATTTCAGGACAAGTGGATATACTTTATTTATGGTCAGGTTGGTCAGGGACATTCCTTAACCTGTCTTTGTATGTCTGTTGAATAACTCTGTTTTTGCATATAGCTTTCATATTGTATTCTCTGTTACTTGCCTAGGGAGGATGTGGAAGCCCCCTTTCTGGATGTGTTTAAGGCCAGGTTGGATGAGGTCTAGTGCAAGGTGTCCCTGCTTATAACAGGGAGGTTGGAAGCTGATGATCTTTAAGGTCCCTTCCAACCTTAACCATTCTGTGATTCTATCACTTTTTGGTCTTCTGAAATAGTTAAAAGAAGAAATTGTGTTAGAGCAAAAATATTTTTCAGTGCATGTTTAAATACTTTGGTTGGTTTTTGTTGGATTTAGTGTGAGTGCTTGGTGGTTTTTTTTGTTTTTGTTTTGTTTTGTTTGCTTAGTGTAAGTTTCCTTATATGGTTGGTTTGTTTCCTATCTCTTTCCTGTCAAGTTTCTGTATTTTATCAACATTCTGCTGTATGTACTCCATCTGGCCAAAGATGTTCTGATTTTGGTTTGGTTTGTTTTTTTCATCTCTTGTGTCTCCTCTTTTGCATCTCCTCCTGAAGATGAGACTAATGTAGAAAATTGATCCTCTAATGAGAAGTGTTCAAAGTCTTGAAAGAAAAGAAGTTTCTAATTTATTGAAACTTAGTGTTTTCAGTTGTGCAAGTTGAATACAATTAATAGCTGGTGTTCTTGCTCACATTTTATTATTCCTGCAGTTTGAGGAAAATGAAGCTATTGATACTACCAACTACCTTGGCCTTGAGAGATTTTTAGCAAACTCTAATGGGTTGAGATTTTTCATTATTGTTCAGGAGAGCTGATAAAGTCAACACATGGCCAAATGTATCTCAGTCATTTTAACTGTGTGTTATTTTTTTTCTCTTGCATGCTTTTATTCTGCATGTAGGATGTACTGTTATTGACACTCACCCTTTCAAGGTCAAGGCCAAAATCCATCTATTCCCCAGACACAGGTCTGGGCTTTGGCAAATATGACAATAGTATTTGTTAATGTTTGTTTTTTTTTCCAGGATTAAGTAGTGTTTTTTTATTCTGCACATTCTCTGCATGTTAAAATATTCTGAGAAATAGTAATAAACAAGTTATTCTGTCTATAAGTGATACTTCCATTGAGATGTAAGTATTGACAGTTACCTTTCAGAGAGAGTTGATGTAGTTGGCTGTAGGTATGTTATTAATGATGTAGATTAACCGTATCATGGATGCACGCACAGTCACCTGGCTGTGTACATGTCTGATTTTGATCCAAGAAGTTTCATTTGTGTTGGTAGCTCAACATTCAGAGAGTTCAGCTGTGCTATTTCTAGGGCCAGTTTGAACTTGGAATTTACAAAGTCCAAACTAATAAACCTCCCAGGTTTGTACTTACATCAAGAAGAATAACTTGTATCAAGGATGATGCACAGGAAGATAGATACTGCCTGCCTATTTTAGCATGGTTGGAGATACAGTGGTGACTTTTCTTGGAGCCTGCTGTGAAGTTTTAAAAAAATAAGTAAAAGGAAAAGGTGGGTTGAACCTCTGGAATGTATCTACCCTGGACTCCTCTACATGGGAACCTGTTAATGGGGCCAACATGAATGTTTAGAGTCAGGTTAGGCTCTGTGCTGCACCTCTGTGCCCTCTTAGAACCAATACAAAGACAATGGAATGCAAGAATCAGCTGGGTTTCAAAAGAGAACATGAAATGTACAGCTAGATACCCTGATAAAAAACCTCAGGGTTTACCGCTATATTATTCCTACTGTCTACCTTTTTTTCCCCTTCAATAGTTGAATATCCTTTATTGAAAAAGCATTATGGATCATACTTTATAATTTTCACACACAATAATTGCATAGGAAGAAAATAGATATATAAAGTGTCTTTAATACTGTGTGGAATAACTTGCTGCTTCCTTTGTGCCTCTTCAAACCTGAGGTGCAGTTGATTTTTAAAAATTTTATTTATCATTGGTTTGCTTGTTTTTTCTCCTTATCTGTGATTTGTAAATTGGTCTCCAAGTTTCAGAGGATAAATTTTCCTCTGATTGATTCAGGGAACAATTAATCAAGCATCTGTTTAAATAGCAAATTGAAGAACAAAAGCTATATGCTTTACCAGCTTAGGAGTAAACCCAAGGTTGTGTGCGTCTTAGGAAGAGCTGTACAGTTTTCCTCATCAACGTCACCATTTTGTTTAAAGAAACGCCTCTTTCTCAATGCTAAATTATTTAAACTGGGAATCTGGGCCCCCGGCTTGTTCTCAGTATCTTCATGCTCTTTCAGTAGAACAAGATTGACTGCAGTTTATCTTATTTAAAAGGCTCTGTGGACAGCGATACAACAAGGCGTAAAGAAAGCAAAAGATGTTACTCAAGTAGGAGTTCTGTGTGGGTTTTCTGTGTGTAGGTTTTTGTTTTGCTTGTTTTAAAACACTTTACTGCTTGGATTATAAAAATTACTATCTGGTTATACTGAAGCTTTAAGGAGTTTTTCCAGCATTATAGAGGTGGTGAGCCATTGGAAGATACCACAGCTTGTAGTTGCATTTTAGTTATGGGATTTAAGTATTGATGGAAATGTAAATCATGTAAACAAGCTCACAGTCTTTTAAATTGCTTCATCTGGTTTTTCTTTAGTTACATATGCTTTTAGGGTAGATGAGACTTTGTTTTCTGACATAAAAATCAAGCAAAAAGCATGCATTGTACCATCTTCAAGAAAATATCCACATTTAATATATTAAACAAGAAATAAATAATAGAAAAAAGGCATGATCATCTTCCTGGTGTACTTGAATAGTGTAAGTCAGTACTTACTTAAACTCTAGTTTTTAGAAAGTTCAGTAGGAGACTGTGGTGAAGGTTGCCTATGGTAGTGTCATTTTAGTTTTATAGTAAAGTGTCCACTTTTCAAAAGTCAAGTGGGTACTTCGGAATTGTTTTCTTAATGTTATCCTTTGGCAGAAAAAAGTTAGATTGTGTTTTTTGGTTTTTTTTCAGTGCTGTCTAGAAACTTTAAAGTTTACAAGTTTCTGCAGGTTAGCTTGAGTTTTTAACAGACATGGACTGCAATGTGGATTCTGCTGCCACTTGAACGTATGTTGTAGAGGTGCAAGAAGCTAAGAATCGGGATGATGAATGCAGTTATAAAGTGTTATGTACTTATATTTATTCTTGTTAGAAATGATAGCATTCTCAATATTTAGGCATTAAGTTTTCTTGCACTTATTATTTTTTTCCTTCCTCTTTCTTGCAGTGAATACAGCCCTCGCCCTGGCAGCAAATGATTCGGTAGGTGAATATGTATTTAGCAGCCTTCATGTGAAACAAGTGTGTGAGTCATAAATGAAATGGTTACTGCTGGGGGCAGTCACGTATGATTAATCAAAGTATTTACTCTGACAATTTCATTATTTGGTGTTCAAGGTCTTCTGAATTTATATTATTTTGTTTATATTTTATCAGTGCCATGAATGACTTAGTAGCTCTCATTATTCATCTGTGTTTGGCTATGTCCTTTCCCTTACATGTCTTGGAGTTCAGCTGCAATTCTGCAGGGATGTGTAGACATAGTAGAGGAAGTTTGTGCAAGTTGGAGACACATAATAAATAGCTACATCCTATCACTGCTGAGCACTTACTTGGAAAAAATATGAGTACGTGCTGGATGGTGTCGAAAACATTTTGTGTAGCTCTAAAGACTTAGTTTTTCTGGATAAATTAATGTGCAGAAGTACTTTATATAGAAACAGCTGAGGAAAAAAAGGAGTTTCATATCTTCCTTGAAGCTTGGAAATATATTTTTTGAGTGACAGAATATCATTGCAGAATTTGATTTCTTGGACTATAAATAGACCACGGGAGCCACTCAAGTGTAAAACCAACAGGTCTTCCTTATGTCCACCTGCTACTATAAACTGAGAGTAGTTCAATTATGCACACTTATTGCCACAGAGGTAAACTGAGAATTGAGCTTCACTTCCTTTGTAAGGATGTATAATGCAGGTTCTCTACTCATAGAGCATAAATTAAAAACAAAGTATCCTCAAGTACTTTATTCTGGTAAATGTAGCATCTTTTTCATGTAAATGATGAGTAAAAGAAAACAGCAGGTAGAGGGAGTAAGGTTTACATGCAATCTACACAGTTCTGTAGAAATTTTATAAAAGATTAAGAAAAATTCCATAAACTTAGTTATACTGCATGAAAAGAGAGTGTTTAAAGCTGTTACATGAAATATGTACTGTTTGCAATGGTATCTGGTCTTGATATTTCACAGCTTTTAATTCTGTGTTTTAAATAAGCTGCTGGACTAATTTGATTTCAGAGAAAAATCTGTCATCTTGAAAAGCAAAACTGCTTGGATGGCTCTTTCTAATTAACTTCAGAAGATAGCATTTGCTGTAGTACTTTTACAAAACGAGTGTGATCTTGCAGTCTGATCTGTTGTTGTGGCATGGTCATTGAGTAGCTCCATGGAAACTATGTCAACTAATTGCACATAACTTTCTGTACCAGCTTAAGTTTTTTTAAGGTTGTGCCTGACACTTTCAAAACATGCAGTTTTGTGCATTGTTTAAATTTATATTTAGATAAAGCATCTCTTGCTTGTTCTGACATACACAAGTTATGGGTTATACCCTTCCATTAGGAGTTAAACGTTTAGCTTTTAACATAGTAATGTGATACATAACTTCAGGAGCCCATTAAAACACTTTTAAAGCACACAAATAAGACACACCATCATCTAGAGTGATCGAAGAGGTTGTTGCCAGAGTTACTTGAAAAATTGGGGACTGAGAAATAATTTTAAATTAATTGAGCCAAGAAAGTTAAGTAAACATAGAATGCACTGGTAATTTCTGATGTTACTATTATGTGTTGGTGGAACATGGGAGGCCAGCATCCATTGGCTGTTAATCAGTGAACAGCTGAAATTGATGAAATAGCTGAGACTTGCAAGAGCCCATGGTCACAATTTAACGAGATGCTGCCATGATGAAATTGCGCATTAATGAAGCTACAGGTTAGAAATTAAGGTGGATTACATCAACTCAACTATATCTTGTTTGTTCATGCATTTCTATATATGTAATTTTATTTAAGATAATGATGGTATGTATCATGTTTATATTTAGCTTTTGGTTTGAATTTGCTGGTGTGTTCATTTGTGTACACCCATTGGTTTGGGTTTATTGTTTTGTGAGTCGAAGTTATGAAATTAGTATCTCTGGGACCTTGGTCCAGGCTGGGATTGTCCAGTGCTCTGAATTGTAGGGATCATTGTAATGTTCAATTTTGTTAAAGTGAAATAAATAGGGAGATCTTTTTCCAGAGTCTTTTGGTGCCTCCTTCTGAAGTTTAAAGTGAATGTCTTTGACCTCAGATATACAGTGATGGATGTCTTCATTTTACTTTCAATAACTACTGATTTTGCATCACCTTCCCATTTTTTTCCCTTACCTTCATTGCTATTGTAAGTTTATCTCCTTCCAAGGAAGCAGTCATGTACATCAGGGCTTCAGCAGCCTCCTTCAATTTTATTACAGTCTCTTACAAGCAAAATAGAGATTTATTGAAGCTGATGCTTGAACTAGATATACTGTATAAAGGAGGAAAAGACTTGTGAAGTAAGATAGGTCACCATGACAATAAAGGTCTATGCTTCCTTCATTAGATACAGCCAGTTTCTGTTACAAGTTCAGTGTTTATCAATAGATTTTCAAAGCAAGTAATGTATTGGACCTAAATGACTTAAAATATAATGTTGTCTTCTGATCTTTCAAGTGTTTTTTTTTCTAAGATTACAAAGGTCACAGGCTGTTGAGAACAACTGTTTTCTGGTGAGGGAGATCTGTGAAAGATGCTTTCAAAAGAGATTGGATAGTACATTCTTCCTGCTTTCAGTAACAGCTGTGTCATCTTATTGTTGTTTTATAGTGTCATAAGCTAGAAGAAGATTAAGTCAAAACACAAAAGAATTTTTTGTCCTGTTGATAAAAAAAGCTTCCTTCCATCTTCTCTTGAAAGTCTTCTTCCTATAGTTAAAAACTAAACCCCCACTGTTTCTATAGATATATATATATTATTATTATTTTAAATCTATATTTTATATGGAAGTTTTTTCAGTTATTATAGTGATGGCCTGAAGTATTAAGGCATCAACAGAGCCTTGGACATTGTCATTGGCGCTGAGTGTTGTTGGCAGAACTGGGATTTGAGTTCAAGTCTTCCATGCCGGTCCTCAGTCTGTTTGGCATATTTCTATCTCATGGTTACAGAGAAAATAATTCAAGACAGGATTTCATTTAGATGCCTAGACACCACATCAAAGACAAAGTAGGGTTTTTTTGAGATTTGTTTTGGTTGTGGGGTTTTTTGTTTTGTTTTTGATGCAAAGCCAGGGAAACAAGCAGAGCAGCCTCTCATCCTTTTCTGCAATATTAGGCTTTTGGTACCCCGGGTTACTTGTTGTAGATGGATTAGTTAAGAATTGTATAAGCTCTTGTGCCAGTACCAAGATCTGTAATCTATACGGTGTTTTTTTTTGTGTTAAGAAATAACTTAAAGTTTTACCCTTTTGTCCCATTTTTAATTGCTTGCTTAGTTGGAGAGCTGATTCTTTTCGTTCTTCTGATGTACCAGCAGTCGTTTGTGCTCCCCTAGGAGCACTTGGGAAGAATTTTTGGGTTTTGTGCCAGGACGATTCATATTCAGGCTAGAATGACTATTTATGAAAGCTGCCTGGCCAGAGACGATTTATTATAGTAGAAACAAGTTGAATTAATAGATGGCAGCAATAATAGCATAGAGATTGCTTGTTTATGAACAGAGTATTTTAGTGAGCAAACACCAGCTGTGCATGACTAAGGATGGCGCAAAGCCAGTTGGGAGGCAGCATGCTTGTGCTGTCACTATGAGCCAAGCTCCCCAGTCAGATTTCCTTTGACTCCTTTTCTTTCCAGGAAGACTTATATTTTTCACTTTAGGATGAAATGGTTTTTGTGTTGTGAAGAATGGTGGAGCAAGAAGTAAAACCATATGGAACAAACAAGCATGTAAGCATAAGCAAATGGCTTCTGCCTGCAGTAGTGGGGGCAGGTGATTAAAGGCATCAGTTTTGCATATTGTAGCTGGACTCTGTCAGGGCATTATTTGGTCTAGCAGACCAGGACCAAAATTTGAACTACATGAAGGGTGATTTCATTTTAGGGTATGGCCTTTGTTTTCCCAAGCAAACCCACTGGTTGCTGAGCAACGTAGGATTTTAAGTCTAAGACCATCAGTGTTTCTGTACCGAGGGAGGCAGCCGGCTGGGAGGAGGAGCGCTGGGGGTGGGCAGGGCGCCTCTTCCCCTCCTATAGCGTTTAACTTCAGGCAGTAAAAGGCCAAACGCATTGTCTTGTAATGTAAATAAAGCTGGGGAAAGTTGATGGTTAGCTAAATGAAAAACACTTATTCAAACAATATCACGGTCAACATGTCACAAAGCAGATTTTTTAAACAGAAAACTTGTGTGAATATCTACGCATACATAAGAGATTTCTCACAATATATAGCACATCTAGCATAGAAGCTCTATAGTTATAAGCAGAGTCTTCACGTGAATTCACTGTTATGATAAAATTAGTTTCAGTTATTTCATTATGTGTATTTAATCAAACAACACACATTAGTTTAAAAACTATTCAAAATTCACCGAGGCTATTCTCTTTACATTTCAGTTTTTTTCAGGTGTTTGGCTCCTGTAATTAAACTCTTCATCTACAAGATACTGACTGCTGCATTAGTAGATGACTTCACAATGTATATACATTTTCTGATAAGGAAAAAGTTCCATGTGGCCAGAGCAAACAAATCTAGAAGAATTTAGACAATAATGGGCTTCTTCACTGAATAATTATAGCATGAAGGCAAGTTTTGACCTCTTTTGTCCTCCTTCCATGCAGCTTTCCTAATTATTGGGGTTTAATTTCTAGGCATCTTTACCTTTGTTGCTTAGAGAATCAGAAGACTTAACTGCTATAGATAAGGTCTTCATGCTTGTTTCTTAATGCTAAAAGTGTTTATAAAGCTGGAGATGTGAATTTATACTGTTTGGGATCATCTTGTTCTGATTGCTCAGCTTCAAGATCAGCTGAGAAAATGAGAGTATAAAGCTTTGCAAAAATCTCAGGTTTTTAAAGTAAAAAATTAATGGGAGTAAAAATATTTTTAAACATGGGCCACTTAAAATGTTTTATTAATCAAATAACTCTATGCTTTAAAAATTGTTACTTTCCTCAAAGTATTGCATGGAGAGTTAATTATCCTCATCCTGGATGTGGGAAGGGACAACTTTTCACTGCCAACTCTGCACATGTCAGACTGACGTGTAAGGTGGAGCACATTTATAATAATTCTGTCATGGTGTGAAGGTGTTGAGGCATCCTTTAGAGTTCTTGCAATGTTTGAGATTCTATTTTGGATTTTGATAATTTACTTTAAAAATAGTGTTTTATTAATTTTTTTTTTTTTATATAGGATTCGTAATGTGCAAGAAGGCCAAACAAGGTTGAATTACTGGTATCTGATATTTAGAAATCTGTAGGAGCTACTGCAGACTGTTGTGGGGAGAAATGCCAGAGGAGTTGAGTAGCTGGCAGAAAATTAGAAGTTCTTCATATGAAAGAAAAGGGCTTTTAAACCAGTAGAAGAGCAAATGTTTAAAACAAGTCTGCGTTTCTAGGATAGAGTGAGAAAACTGTAGTGTTACTTTTTTGGCTTGAATCCAGTTTACAGCTAGACACTTAATTAGTGTGCAGCTGAGAGAATTAGAGAATTAGGAATTGAAAGATGGCTATTCAGTGTGTCAGTATGTTAAACGAGGAAGCCAGAGCCTATCCTGATTTTAAGTTCCCTTTTGTCCTATGTGTTGCTGCTTGCAGTTTGGGATTAGTTCTAAGTACGTAATGACATTAAAAGAATAAATTGAGAGTCCTGGTGGTGGATTAAGAGTACCAGCTTTAAAATTAACTGGCACCTTCACTTAGCTGAAATTTCTGTCTTTGAAATGGGTTGCAGCTGCTAAATATCTGGGTTACTTCTAATGTAGGGAATCCTTCACTTCATAGGACAACATCGGCTCATTAACCTGTGCCTCTGTCCCTCTCAGGCTGAAAACCGGGATATTCTGATGGTCTACAGAGTTTACTTCAAAGTAAAATATCATCCACTAACTTCCAGTGGGGATACATATACCTTAGCAAATATGGAAAACAGTCTTGGAAAAAATGAGCAAAAATTAAATGAATGCTCTCAGAGAATCTCTGGATGTTAGTAGTAATGTTGATTAATAGCTATTTATAGCAGCTTTTTCTGATTTTTTTTTTTTTTCTTTTGTTTGGCATGAAGTCTTTTATCAAGCTTGTTCCTCAATAAATAATTTGGCAATCTTGTAGAAATCAATTACTATTACCAGATTCTTCACTGAACACAGAAGTATGTGCGGAAGGGCCTTCTGTGAGATACGAATGGAACTGGTTGCATTTGGTTGCAAAATGTGTAACTGAAAAATTATGTTTTTCAGTAATATGTGAAAGACATAAAATGGAAACTTAAGAAAGTGTATTGGAGAGACTAAACTCTTAAATGTCTGCTAAAATAGTTAACAGAAGGAAATATAGGGATCATTTTGTCATTGGCATGGACCTGTAGTCTATGTAAGGACCACTAAGAGAACAAACATAATAGTAATGGAATATTTTTCAGAGTAAGAGAATCATAGATGTTAGAGGTTGGAAGGGACCGCTAAAGATCATCTAGTCCAATCCCCTTGCCAAAGCAGGATCACCTAGAGGAGATCATACAGGAACGCATTCAGACAGGTCTTGAAAGTCTGCAGAGAGAGAGTCTCTACAACATCTCTGGGCAGCCTTTTCCAGTGGTCTGTCACTCTCACAGTAAAGCAGTTCCTCCTCATGTTCTAGCTTATAACTCTTGTTCCTTGTCCTGTTGCTGAGCACCACTGAAAAGAGACTGGCCCCTTGCTCTTGACACCCACCCCTCAGATATTTATAGATATTAATGAGATCCCTTCTTATTCTTCTCAAGACCAAACAGCCCCAGTTCTCTCAGTCTTTCTTCGTAGGAAAGATGTTCAAGTCTCTTAATCATCTTTGTAGCTCTCTTTTGTACTCTAAAATAGATCCCTGTCTCTTGAATTGGGGAGCTCAAAACTATTCCAAGTGTGTCCAGTTTTGAATTTGCATAAGGAAAAACAAAGGATTTTTGAAGTAAAAACTTACTTTTCCAAGTGTAATAGTAGATAATTTGTGGTAAAGCATTTTTTACTTCACAGTTGTAAAATTTAAGATGCATTTGTTTTTTATTAGGTAAATTTGACACTTTAAATTGTTCAGCTCTTAAAGGTACCTTCAGGGTTTAATACCAATGGCTTAAAAAAAGAGAAGATGGAAAAAAAAGAGAAAGCAGCCTTCACAGAAAAACAATCCCCCAAGCTCAAAATATTACCTGTTGTAGTAAAAAGACTCAGTCTTGCTTCTCACATGTCTCAGCTTTTATGAGGTAGTTTCTTTATCTTACATGAAATTCAGATTTATTTAGAAGTAGTGACCTGAATATGTAGGATGTTAATCCAGGTGCACTTCTGTTTTAAAAAAACCCCACCAAACAAACTCCTTGTGATACCACAGAATATACTTTGTGTTTAGAAGTCCTGTTAAAGGTGAGAGATGTTGTATACTTACATTAAAAGCCTCGTTATACTCTACTTCTAACCAGAAACTTGATAGTTATCACTGAGCCTTTATCCTTCCCTCTTTCCCATCAAAACTGCAGTAACAGAATGGCTTAGTGTATGACACCAAACCATGAAAGCTTCATCCAAAAAATTATGCATGTTTTGAAACCCTAACAGTGAAGTCTGATTAAGCATTGTAGGAAAAGCTCCCATTGCTGCCTTAATCTTGCAAACAAGCCCTTGAACATGCTTGCAGTTTTGCAAAATGTTGAGTACAGTTAGCTTTTTATCATAGAATCACAGAGATGTTAGAGAAACTTGGCATTCAGCACTTTAAAGGGCTTGCTCTTTACTGCATGATTTACAGAAGTTGGTAATTGGTAGCGTGTCTTGCCATCTGTACAAAAATAGTTTCATTTCCACAGAATGTGCTTATAGAAATCAATCTTGTGTAAGTCTAGACTACGTAGTTGAAATAATTTTTATTTAAAGTTTGTTGCCTAATTTACCATATGTAGTTGAATAAATCCATAATTTTAGCATTCTTTTGTGTAAATGCATTTGATTAAAATGTTATGCCTGCTTAATTGGCTTCAGAGACTTGCATTTCAGTATTTTTAAGATGGCAAAAGTTTACTTTGGACGCTTAAATGGAAGAGAAAAATATGTTTTGCATGTTTTTGATATAGTCACTACTGTAATTCAATTGCATTGATTCATATATGTTCACAAACATTGCTTGGCTTTTTAACAATAAAATGTGATACCTTTTAAATAAAGTGAAAATTATATTTCTTCATAAACGTACATGGAGTAGACATGTACATTGCTTACAATGTTTGTTAATATGTATCTGTGGTCTACATTGTAAGTAAGGAAATGTGCAAGTGAGGATTCTCTGTATTGAGAATGTAAATTGTGTGAAGACGTCTGGCTCAGCTTGTAGAGACATTGTTGTATTTTGTGCTTCAATTGCAATTTAGAGAAAAAGGAAACAGGGATAAACCTGTGTTTACAATCAAGATAATACTTTGTTTCTATGGACAGTTTTAAAGTTTTGCTTAACTAATGATTAATAAAGGAAGACAGACATTTTGATCAGTATTTGGTTTTGGTTGTTGTTGTTCTTTACACAGACAAAAGAAGTTGGTTTACTTGATGCAGACATATATGGACCTTCAATTCCAAAGATGATGAACTTAAAAGGAAACCCAGAACTAACACCAAGTAAGTGGAAGTGATTTTCCTTGCTGTCTTCTTTGTGCAGGATGAGCATGGACCACTCACTGGTGTTCCCTTGGTGTGGCAAAGAAGGGATACAAACATAAGATGAAGACTTAGTGTATTTTTACCTTTTATTTTTCAAATTTTATTTTTAGTAATGAATTTGCTTTCAAAGCTAGCTTGTACAACTAGGACCATACTCAGAGTTGTCTTTTTTTATGTCTTTCCATAGACCTTGGGAGTTTCATGCACAATTACTAGAGACACTGGAAAGGGTAACTAGGAAAAGAAGATTATTGTCAGTAGTTTCAAATTTTCCATAAATATAGAAGATCTCCAAATTAAAAACCAAAACCCACTTGTCCACAGGAAAAAAGGCTGATCTAGGAAACAAGAGAAGGATCACTAAAGTATCTTGTATAAAATGTCATTGACTCTTGATACATTTTCCTTTGAAGTTGTGTGTTTAGGACTGCAGTGGTGGTGACTTAACTACCAGAAGGTAAAGACTGGACAAAACACCTGATTTTCCATGTGCTAGGAAAGATTCTGTTTGGGGGGAAAAGTAAATCCTGTTAGGAGAGAAATAAGGAAGACCTAAAGTAGAAAGGTTGCGTCAGGTCTGTTTACCTTTTAGAAATTTAACTTCTGCTCAGGCCAACCATGGGCAAAACTGAAGAATGGCTTTATTCTGACAGCCTGTTAATGTGATACTTGAGTATAAGGGAGTGTGCTCTTTTGAGAGTGAGGTGATGGGATTTGTTTAATGCTTTGTTTTGCCTGTCCTGTGATAAAGTGCATGTAGTTAGAAAAATTAAAAACATGTAACCACAGACAAAAACAGTCCCACACTGTTATGACCTGGCCTACATGTTAAAAAGTACTAGGATCCTACTGAAGAATGTACAAACTGGCAGGAATTGTTGACAGGGAAGGATTATGGACATAAACCAGCTCAAATAGGACATAAAAGGGCTACAGTGAAATAATCAACTATAAATACCCCTTAATGTTTGTGGGCAGTAATTTCTAGGTGCAAGGGAAGTTAAATATTCTTTCCACTTCCTTTCATGCCATGATCTTTGTTAATTTTACTCTGCTACTGTTGTAGAATGTCCATTTGTAGCTGATCTTAATATGCACATGTGTAAGGGTGTTGTTGTGGTGGTGGTTCTAAACATTCTGAGGTGGTCTAACGCCCACAGAGTGAAACAGTGCCAGTGCCTTTAAAGGGTGGTTATTGAGCTTGCAACGCCAGCCTCTGGAAAATGAGTAAGTAGCAACTAAAATTTCTTATATAATTAAAATTCTGTCTCCTTATTCTTATAAGAAAAAGTAATATATTTCTATATACGGTTGCACTGTATGTGCTTATACAGGCAGCTGTCATAAAAATTACAGACTTTATTTATATAATTTCTAAGAGAGAAGCAGAGTACTTGGGTTTATTTGTTAGGTTTTTGTTTTCTTTTTTGAAGTCAAAGGCTAATTCTGTTGTGTAATAAAAAAATAACCCTTTCATGTATCAACAGTATCATCATGTATTGTTCTAATCATCAAACTTCCTGATTCAAATTGAAGTATTTTTGCATTCTCTTGTACTTGGGACCCCACTATGGGCACACAGCATACAGGCTTTGATTTTCTGGAGCAGACTCTTGGGGTTTTTTTGCTATTAACATGGCATTTGAAATGCGTATGCAATGTAAACACAAAAAGGACTATATTGTGTGTTCTTCATATCTTCTTTCTTTTTTATGTGACATAGACTTTTTCCTTTTCAAAGGAGATGAAGTGAAAATTGCCTGAAAAATTGATTAGATAACTTGTACCTTCTTGGACATTTTGTGATGCATTTTATCAATCCATACCGAATTTAAATCCATGTCATGAGTCACAAATAAGAAGCAAATTGCTCAGTCCGTTTCATATGGCTATACAAATTAACTTGCTAGAATACAAGATCTTAAGAGTATATTCAGTCAAATATTAGGGCAGCTTGATTTTATTTATATATACATTTTAGTGACTGTAGATATTTTGGGTATACAGCTGAGAATTTGCTGTAAGCTTTTGTCTTAAAGTATTTTGAGTGTTGTTAAAAATGTGGAGTTCAATGTAATAAATTGAAGAATTTCCCTGAATTGAAATTGCTGCTGTTAACTTGTAAGCACTAACATTTTGACTGCTAAAATGTATTCTTTCTACTTTTGTTTGGAGTGTAAAAGCAAATATTATCAGGATTTAAGAATATACTTTATATTTTAACTGTCAAAAAATGAATGTGTGTAATTCAGAAGCTCGGCATATTATGCAATTCTACTGAGAAAGTCTTAGCAATTCAGTGTGAATGATAACAGGATAGAATTTATGTTTCAGGAATCTGTTCACTTCTCTGTGCACTTTTAACTCTTGAATTGATGAAGCTGTAGAGTAACAACAATGAAAGTGTTGGCAAAGTAGCTGACAAAGTTTATTTGGTTGTGGAAACAGGAATTTGGAGGGCATAGGAAGCTTTAATTGTGAACATCAAGGATTTATTTGAGGAGTGACAGGATAAGCTTGCAAGAAAGTGATCCATCATACGTGTATATATATGCTGTCTAGCTAGAAGGATCTACCATATAGGTGTATATATGCATGTCTAGATATTAAAAGATGTATGACTCTTGTATTTTTGTATAGTGAGTTTTAGTGTTATTTTCCAATTTCTTACTGTTTTCAAGAATAAAGCATAAACTCTGAACAAATATTGTTTTGTGCAGTAATTGATCAAGCCTAGGCAGTTCTATGTTAAAGATGTGCATTAACAATGTATATTTACAGTCAGTAAGTAAATTAAAATTAATATTTTTTTAATAGCATAGAAATAAAAAGATGTATTTAAAGTTTGTTGCTGTCTTCAGTGTGAGGCATGGATTTGAAAATGAGAATAACATCATCCTTCATTACTGAATCTAGAGTAATCTTGAGAGGTTCTAAGCACTTTTGCACTCTTTGATTTCTATTTCTTTTCTCACATGTAGTGGCTGAAAAGGGATTAGGGATGCCTTGTACCAGAAAGAATAAATCCATGCAGCAATTATTACTTTTGAATAGTAATTATTATAGTTATGCTGTAATATAAATTTTCAAAATGAATTAGTTCTTAGTGAGGAGAGAGTATGTAGAAATGGAAGATACTCCATTAATTTTGCAAACTAGTACATTGGGAAGTCTTTTCACATTTAATTGGGTGTCATTGAAAATACCTTAACTAAATGATCAGGGAAATACTAGTTAATAAATTCACAACTAAATTTAATTAACTAATGGAGGATTATCTAACTTTGGAATAAATATTAATATCAGTATACACATGGCAATGCTTATAAACAAGTAATAAAAACATTACTTCTGTTCTTTCCCCAAATAATTTGCTTAATAACCATTTTCTGGCTTAGTGAACTGTATAATTTCCTTTTTTTTCCTTTTTCTTTTACAGATTTACCACTTAAACTAGTTGGCAGAGAGTAAAACCTATTGCATTACCAAAAAGATAGTGCTGTTTTGCCAGATGAATATAACATTTCCTTTCATAAATTATTATGAATGTTTTGATGGACTTTTTTTCTTTCATAGTTTTGTGCTTTTAATATTTCAAAGCTTTGTTGCCATTTTATGATATCCTCAGTGTTTTTCATATTTCTTAATAAAATAGTATATTCAAAAAATCAGTAGTGGGCATCTGTTTTCAAAATCTGGAATAAAGAATAATTTCTGAGATAAAGCTAGCAGTAGCTGTGTGGCCCCATTGAATTGAATAATAGAAGCTATAGAAATGAAATTACTGATAAAATTGTAAAGTCAGAAATGGTTAGTTGCTTTTTTTTTTTTTTTTTTTTTTTTGGGACACATTTCCATGTCTGCTGTTCTTAAGTCTGGTAGCAGAAACTTGTAAAATAAAATTATAATATGAAATATAACCTCTTGTGAGTGTTTATAAAGATATTTGCTGAAAATAGCTATATTAAAGAATTGTGGTGCATCCACTTGTGGGTTTTAAACAGAAAATATGGAGTGGACTAGTTAGAGAAAACATTGCACAAGTACAATAGTTATTGAGATAACAATGAAGAAGTTTCTTGATCATACCTTATAGTTTAATTTTAAAGATACAGCTTGTGTTCTCAAACAAAGGTGCATTTATCATGCTTTACTAGTAGAACTGTATCGTGATTATTTGTGAGCAGTTGATTTTTAGTTTTTGTATACTCTAATGGTATGCTTTACTGAATCTGTTTTGAAAGAGGTCTGAACTGAAACCCTGTGTTTTATTTTTAGTGATATCTTATCCTAGTTTATCTAGATGGCTGAAGTAGTTCCAGGTGTCTCACATGTGACAACCTGATAATTCAGAATGTTGTCAATAGTTGTGGTTTACATTTTGGGGGCTTTTTAGTATCTAGTGAGGTAATTGGAAATGAGAATACTACTCAAGTGTTAAATATTTTATTCTGCACTTTGACTATTGCCCTCAAGTTGCTAACAATTAGCCTACACCTGGACAAATTATGTTTAAAAAAACTCCAAACCTCTAGAAGAGTTAAAACTGAAAATTCCAAAAAGTAAGGTAAAAAAGTGTAAGATGAGAAATGTAGTGTAGTAATTAAAGCTTTTTGCTGAGAGCAGTCATTTCAGATAAATGGCCAACTAAATTTTACTAAATAATATTGCAGTATAAAATACTGAAGCGCTGTAACTAGAAAATACATTTCAAGTACTTGAGAACAGAAGTGTATTAACTCTTCATGTTGTTAGTCTTGCAGTGGAGTAATTATAAATATTTTTTTATATATTATGGCTAGCAAATATTCATTACATTATGTTTACTCTTACATGTACAAATGGTTTGTCTGGTTCAACTTTTATATACATGGGAATTAAATTGCAAAATGGTTTTATTACAGTAACATAATAAATATGTCTATTGTATGTACAGAAACAAATGATTCTTTTTTTTG